ATTGACAAACACTAGTAGCAAGGCTTTCTGAGTTAGAAACTGTCACTGATAGTGGAGTGAGGGAGGGGTTATAAACAGGCTCACATTGAGAAAAGAGGAACTGCAAACCAGGCCACAGGACTGAGAGATTGTTCAGGAAAGTATACGAGAACAGAAAGGCAGGCATTCACTTTTAACAACAAAAAAAATCTATACAACTTTCCAGTGATCAAATTATAAAGTTGCAATGGCAGCGATTGAGAATATTGCTGGGAAGGTTGTTTTTGCCAAACAAGTTCATAATTATGTACTTTACCTGATTCAATTTCTAGATATGTTTCCAACCAGTCCCTCAGGAGAATTTGCAATCATCGGAGCACTGGGGGAGCTTGCATTTTCTTTTATTATCTTTTCTGTGGTAAAAGCAATTTCCTGGGGCTTGGCCACTGTCTCCTGCTGAACCAGACTGTTTGCAACCTTGGCATTCACTCAACCACAAGCTGAGCTTCCAACCCCATACCTTGGCTATCTTAAAGTCTGACTAGCTTCTAGCTGCCCTAATAACACCATAATCTCAATCCATCTGCCACTGAAATGTTTAACTATGTCTTTGCCATCTACCATTATTCCAATGTTCTCCCATAGTTTTGTAACCTCCTCCTCCAGTATCACTGCTGCTGGTAGCTACTGCTGCCAAAAGCCCCTGGTTTCTCACACTCTGCCATCTTGTACTATCCTCCCACGTCCACAATGGCTCATCTGCAACTGCTACACAACATCCATCATTTATCTCCGGCTAGATGACACACTTATCTTCATTGGTCAGGACATTGAGTATACGAGTTGGGAGGTCATGTTGTGGCCTTCCAGGGCATGGGGTTTGGCCACAGTTGGAATACTGCATTCAATTCTGGTCTCCCTGCTATAGGAAATATGTAGGAATATATAGGGTTTAGAAAAGATTTACAAGGATGTTGCCAGGATTAGAGGGTGTGAGTTGCAGGGACAGACTGAATAGGCTGGGGCATTTTCCCCCCCCGGAGTAAACATTTCAGTGGCAGATGGATTGAGATTATGGTGTTATTAGGGCAGCTAGAAGCTAGTCAGACTTTAAGATAGCCAAGGTATGGGGTTGGAAGCTCAGCTTGTGGTTGAGTGAATGCCAAGGTTGCAAACAGTCTGGTTCAGCAGGAGACAGCGGCCAAGCCCCAGGAAATTGCTTCCGGAGTGTTGGAGGCTGAGGGGTGACCTTGTAGAGTTTATAGAATCATGAGGGGTGTGGATAGGGTAAATAGACAAGGTTTTTTTCCCTAGGGTGGGGGAAGTCCAAAATTAGAGGGCATAGGCTTAAGGTGAGAGGGGAAAGATTTAAAAAGGACCTGAAGTGTAACCTTTTCATGCAGAAGGTTGTGCGTGTAGAGAACGAGATGCCAGAGGAAGTGGTGGAGGCTGGTACAATTACAACATTTAAAAGGCAACTGCATGGGTATATAAATGGGAAGGGTTTAAGAGGGATATGGACCAAATGCTGGCAAATGGAATTAGGACAGATTGGGATGTCTGGTCGGCAGGGATGAGTTGGACCTAAGGGTCCGTTTCCATACTGTATAACTATATGCTGTCCTCCATTTGCTGTCTCTAGTAGCTTTTCATCCTAACTTTCAGTATATCACTGTCCTTCCGTCAAAAATCATAGAATTCATACAATCCCTACACGGGGAAACAGGCCATTTGGCCCATCGTAAATGTAAAGATAGTGGAAATTTGTTTCTTAAATAACTCTAAAAGGGAATCGGATACGTAGTCAAGGATCAGGAACTTGATAGGGTTACTGGCAAAAAGCAGGGATTGCATAGGCACTATCTACAGACTGTAAGAGCCAGCAAAGTCAAGATTGGGTGAAAGGCCCCTTTTCTGTGATTTAATAAAACCTCTCACTACCTCTGACTCTGGCCTTGTGTCTCACCCCTCTCCCTCTTCTCTGAATGGCAGGCACTCAACTAGGTTTATAAAGCATCCCTGGTTAACATGCTACATTAAATAAATATCACATAGAAAAACGAGCTACCATAGAAATACTACTTTTATCATTCTTCCTCTGCCTATCATTCTCAGTTTTTTTTTCTGATTATGCCTTGCATTCCATGTAAAAATATGTAAACCATTTTAAACCAGTCACAACCACTAATCAGAATGCGTTTCTCACCAAACACTTTCTCATCTAATTACTACATACCCAACAGTACCCTCATGCATTAGTAACGTCACATCATGCCCTTTCAGCTCCTTACTGCATACAGGACAGCACATGCCTGATAAAATGCACTGCTATGTTGTTGTCATGGAAGAGACCACATTGAACAGAGAAGCCTTAACATTATTTGGAAGAGAGTTTTTACACAAAGCAGAATTTTACAGCACAGAAATAAACTATTCTGCCAAACAGGTCTAGGCTGTGTTTATGCCCCATTGGAACCTCCTCCTACCTTCCCTCGCTTAGCACTCCAAGCAAATTTCTTCCCATGCCTTTATTATTTCTCAGATGCTAAGAATGGACAGATCCCCACTTGCCTGGGTGAGTGCAGCTCCAACAGCATTTCAGAAACTCAACACCATCCAGGGCAAAGCAGACCCGTTTGACTGGCCATCCATTCACCACCTTAAACGTTCACTCCCTCCACAGTGATGTTAAGTGGCAGCAATGTGTACCATCTTCAAGACACACTGTAGCAATTCACCAAGGCTCCAAACCCATGTCTAGAAGGACATGTGCAGTAGATACATGGGAGCACCACCCCCTGCAAGTTCCCCTCCCAACGACTGAACTACTATGATCTGCCTGTACTGCTCACAAAACAAAACTTTTCAGTGTACTTAGGTACATGTGACCACAACAAATCAAATCAAAACATCCTGACTTGGAAATATATTGTCGTCCCTTCAGTATTGCTGGGTCAATATCCTGGAACTCCCTCCCTACAGCATTGTGGGTCTACCTAAACAACAACTGTTGTGGTTCAAGATGGCAGCTCACCACCACCTTCTCAAGGGGCGATTAGGGATGGGCAATAAATGCTGACCAGCCAGTGACGCCATGAATGGAAAAAGAAATGCATTCACTTTCAGCTTGTGAACTTTTGTCTTAAAATTTACTTTTAATTGTTACTCATGAATTTACATTTTTTTGTCTTTATTCATTCATGGGATGAGGGTGTTGCTGGCTAGGCAGCATTTATTGCCCATCCCTAATTACCTAGAGGGCAGTTAAGAGTTAACCACATTGACAAATATTATGACGCCTGTATTAATAACAGAAGACACATGTGGTTGGCATTGTATTTTTCTTGTAAAAGTACATATAACAATAAATTCTAAATTCTAATTCTATTATTCGGAATAGTTTATCCCAAGATCCTAATTGGATTAATCAGTGACTACCTAATACTTTGCCGAGTATTTTGGACTCTTTTACAAATGAAAGCACTTTCTTTTACATCTATCCCATTAATTAAAAGATAGCTATCAATACATCCCTCAGTCTCTTCTTAAGGAAAAGAGCCCCAAGTCTCATCAGTTTTTCTATGCTATATCTTTGTCATGCTTTCTCTACCTTTTCCAGACGTTGCCGAACTGAACTCCAGGATAATAGGCTTGTGACCACGATAAGCATACCTGTGGAGTCCAACGGAGGACGAGACAGACGGTGACGTTTAACGCCCTGTAGGGAGGCAAGCCTCAGTGCGTCAAAATGGCTCAACAGTGGCAGCTGTTACAAGTGCTTGTAGGGTAGGCTGGTAAAACTGACAAACCTTTTGGGAAGTGTCAAAACCATTCCATTCCAGCCGCTGCTCAACAGAAATTCAAAAGGAAGAGACAATCTTTGACCAGCTTGGACCAGAATGTTTAAGATAGAAGAGAAGTAGGCCATTCAGCCTACTTCAGCAGTCAAGCCTGCTCCTCCATTCAATGAGATCAGGGCTGATCAGGTAATTGTCAAATCCAGTTTCTGCCCAGGGAATGCAAACGGGACACACATAGGAATGGTTACTCTTCAATCCTGGGCCAGGGTCGATTTAGCTCTGGATCAGAGCTAGACGGGAATTTTGCTACTGAAACTATCAATGTAAGGGGAAAAAAATATCACAGCGCACATCACAGATTGCTGACAAGTAACAATTATTTGAAGGAGTGAAGGGATAGAGCAAATTTTTTGACAGTAGGAAAGCTCCATTGGGCAAATGTTATTTTAATTCATTCCCAGGATGTGGTTGTCGTTCTGAAGCCTGGCATTTATTACCCATCCTCAGCTGCCCATGAGATGTAGACCACACAGTCCCTCGAGCCTGCTGTGCCATTGAAAACGATCATGTGATCTGCTGGTGTTTCAAAACTCCACATTCCCATCAACTTCGATAAGTCTCGATTTCCCTTCCTATCAGGAATCTAGCTCTGTCTTAAAAAATACATAATGACCTCCACCTTCATCACCTCCTAAGGCAGTAAAATTTCTAAAGTTGTATGTTTTCCTCTGGAGTGAGACAGGGGAAAGCAATTTGCCTCACCTTTATCCTAACAGGGCAACCTCTAATTTTAAATAGGGTCCCTCTTAAGTAAAGTTTCTGGACTTACCCACAACAGGAAACTTCACTTCCATGTCCATCTTGTCAAGACTGTTCAGGATCATAAAAATACCTGCTTCCTTTCTCTTTACTGGCTGAGGTAATATGCTTAGGAGGTGCTGACTGATAAACCTAGGCAGGTTGCTGCATTGCATCCAATATATAGAGGACACAGCTCCCAAAATATAGCCGGAATCTCTAAATCATTTGCATGGTTTGGGAACTAAACTCCCATTAGATTCCATTAACACAATCCATCATTCCACTGAAGCCAATGATACGATCCTGTTTCCATCAGCATCTAGCCCAGGTACTAGCATCCGACTCAGTGTTCTCCATCTGGTGTCTTCTAGCTTCGAAAAAATGTACAACCACTTCAAAAAGGAGAGCCAAACACTTAGGTGGTGGATTCTAAAGTTTTATTTAAATTGAGCTTACAAAGCCATCCACATTGTTGAGAAAAATACACAAACCCACCTCCTTTACAGTTGTGTGTACATACAATGCACCCCAAGCAGAGAGTTGCTACGTGTCAGCTACCCCCTACTCTCAAACTTTGTGGATTTAGACAAACACAAGTTCAAGTGTAATGGCATTAGCCTCCTCCATAAGAGAGAAAAATTAAAGTTCAAAAGCAGCCAAAAAATATTCTAGTCAAGGAGTGACTCTATCCTCCTTATAACCTGGTGATTCCAATCGGTAAATTGAGAACCCTTTTTAAACAGGGATTAAAATACTAGAGAAAGCAAGCCAGGATATGCTTCTGGGAGAAGAATTTGCTTGTGGAACAAACTTGACAGGCTCCATACAACACTCTACTCTCAGAAACCCTAGACTCCACGCCAAGCCTGTTGTTACCCCCTGGTTTTGTTTGTAGGCACTACACACTACAATTCAGACTTGCTGTTCCCCTGTTACTGTAGGCCAGCAACTCTCATTTGCTTCACAGCACAAAAAGACAACTGGCCCCAGGCCCTCAGCTGCCAGGGGAATGGGGAGCTATAGATGCAGAAAAAACTACAGACTTCCACCGCTCTCTGCGAAACTGCAATCAGCAAAAAAAAATCTCAATTTCCTTCTTATTATAGTGATGTGCCACGTGTAAAGTTCATGTTCTTAATGCACATCAGAGATAGTTTAACAAATTCACTACTGTATGTAAAATATCCAGATTGGCTCTAGAGAATTCCAACATTCTGGAAAAAGGGCAAAGCCTTTCCAGAAGTATGTTAATTTGCATCGTCACAGTATTACATCATACCATGTTGCGAAGATGTGAATTTAATCTGGGAGTACAAAATTGAGACTGTAACCATGTAGAACTGTTGGAGATTGAGAGGAGTTTGTGGGAGAATTTGACCTCGAGTCAGACAGCATGAATTAAAAGATCAAGGAGGATGGCCCTCATAAAAGGATAGTGAGGAATGGACTGCAATTGGAAATTAGAAGAGAAAAATGGAAAGAAAGGATCTCAAGATGGTTTTTAAAAAGTAGAAAGCCTGACAACTGTATTACTTTTTAAATTTATTCATCCTTGGGCTGTGGGCATCACTGGTAAAGCAGGAATTGATTAAAGATTCTAGCTTGCCCTTGAGAAGGTGGCAATGAGCTGCCTTCTTGAACCACCATAGCCCAGTTGGTGTAGAGACAACCATAGTGCTGTAGGGAGGGAGTTGCAAGATTCTGGCCCAGCAATGAAGGAACGGTGATCTATGCTCATTCAGGATGCAGTGTGAGGTTAAGGAAAACTTGCAGGCGATGGTACTTGCACCTACTTTGTCCCACCAAGCAAGCAGAACATCCAAAGATGTGCAAGTTAGGTGGATCGGCCATGCTAAATTCCCCCATAGTGTCCAGGGATGTGCAGGCTAGGTGGGTTAGCCAGGGTAAATGTGGGATTATATGGGGATTGGGTGGGATGCTCTTCAGAGAGTCAGTGTGGACACAATGGGCCAAGTGGCCTCTTTTTACACTTTAGGGACCCTATGATTCTACATATATTTGGAAGGCAGTGTCATTGGAGCTTTGGTGAATTGCTGCAGTGTATCTTATCGATGTGACACACACTGCTGCTGCTAAGCACTGGTGGTGGAGGGGGTGAATGTTTAAGCAGGTGGATGGAGCGCTTTGTCCTGCTTTGTGTTAAGATGTAGCTGGGTGCAAGTGTCAGATAATGGTAGGAGTACTCTGTTCCAGTTATGTTGTTAGTTTGTGTGGATGATGTATTACTGTCATTCTACTGATTTTAGGGAATGTTATCTATAGTATCAGAAAGGGCGGTGTGCAGGAGGTTAGGCAATGTTAACCAGGGTTCTAGCGCCCGCTCACAAAGGCATTCGTGATTACAGAATGCAGACATGACTGACTGGGGCAGTGGACTAACCAGTGGATAGTCAGCCAACAGAAGGGTGATCCCTTGTGCAATGTACCACAAGCACTGGGGGGAGGTTGGAGGCACCCATTCCCAGTGCAAATGGAAGAGGAAGGGAAGTAGCTGGAGGAGGTGGAGAGATTAGGCAGGTTGAGGTTTCTAACAGACATGAAGACTGACTTTCTCAAGGCACTGTCCCTGCTCCCCCTCCCAAAGCAAGGAAAGGAGGCCTGTCCAGTATTCGCGACTGTTATAAGGTAGTGGTTAACACAGTATTTGTTAATTTGGAATCCCTCAATTATGCAGGCTGAGAGATAATTCTTCTGGCTTCACTAAAGGAGGTCAGAGTTAGGAAGAGGTCAATAAATTGCCATTTTGATGATAACAACATAAAGATAAATGAAATTCTGAGGTGGTTGACTTGGTCACCGAGCTGGCTTGTTCTCGTTCAGATGTTTCGTCACCATGCTAGGTGACATTGTCAGTGGAGCCTTTGATGAAGTGCTTGGAATTATACTATTTGGTCCATTATGGTGAATAGTGTCATTTCCGGTTTTGATCTGAGTGGGTTTGTATATGGACTCCAATTCTGAGTGTTTGTTGATTGCATTATGGGTGGAGAACCATGCCTCTAGGAATTCCCGTGCATGTCCATGTTTGGCTTGGGCTACTATGGTTACTATGACAGACTGGAAGGAAACTAGCCATCAGAATACATGAACATCAGCTAGCAGCAAAATGGTACGACAAACTCTCCTTAATATCGGTACACTCAGACAATGAAGACCATCAGTTTAATTGGGACAAAGTAACCATAGTAGCCCAATACAAACATAGACACGCACAGGAATTCCTAAAGGTATGGTTCTCCACCCATAATGCAATCAACAAACACACTGAATTGGAGCCCATATACAACCCACACAGATCAAGACCAGAAATGACACTACTCTCCATAACGGACCAAACAGTATAAATTCCAAGTGGAGTAGAATAATATCGCTTCGTCAGAGGCCTCACTGATGATGTCACCTAGCATGGTGATAGAACGTCTGAATGACAACAAGCCAGCTCGGTGAGCAAGTCTACAACCTCACCCACAACCCGAGCTACAGATCTTTGCCAAAACTTTGAAATGAAGTTCTATAAAATTCGAATTACCATTTGCAGGAAGGGCAAAGAAGGGTTAATAGTTAGTGCGTTACATGAGGCAGTGGCAGAAGCAAAGGAATATTTATCAAAAGCCCTCTGTGGATTATTTCCCCAAGGACAATCTGTATATTAATGCAGTACGCTTTCCAGTGTTCAGAGAGTGAACAGCAAGATAGATTTAAAATCAGTATAAATGCAGGTCAACAAAATAAAAAGGAATTTTAAATCTACAGAAAAACTTTGGGAGTTATGTCATGCATTCTAGGGGTGTAGATTTATCAGCATTAGGAGGCAGCTTTATGAATCTGGTCTCCTGGTGTGAAGTCTTACAGGCAGGAGCACATTATCAATGAATTTGAGCTTGTACTCCCCACAATTTTCCTGCACGGATAAAGTCCTCATTGACTGGAGGAGATTGACACCCTCTGTCCAGGAACCAACTTTCACCAAGGACCTCTTGATTTCAAAATGCTGGCAAATGGACCTAGATTAATTTAGGATATCTGGTCAGCATGGACGAGTGGGACCAAAGGGTCTGTTTCCATGCTGTACAACTCTCTGACGTCCCATTTCAGCATTCCTATGTTTATTCAAATGTCACTGGAGGTCATCCATGCTCCTCAGCGTGAAAAATAAACAGCAGTGGGAAAACAAGGAACTAAAAGCAAAAATCTAGCAATAATTTAAATGGAGGAAGTTGCCGTAAACACAATTCCATTTCCCAGCTGCACATTTGTGTTGGCCTCACAAAAATCATCACACTGTCAGTGAGGTTTTTAAAAATACTGCCTCCACTACAGTGGCTAAACAATTTGGTATGAAAGAGCTTTTAAAAATGTTCCAAGCATTAGGAAATAATAGACTAGAAAGCTATTCTGTGCCCCATATGATGGAGGCCAATGTATTCCTGAAAGTTTCATTACATTTTGTTGACAAAAGAATTCCTGTTGCCCAAAAATACAAGCTAAGAGTAAACTGAATTGTCTGTGAACATTGCTCCTGTTTCCAGTAAGGCGTACTCAGCCCCCAGAAAATTGACACAGTCTCTAGCCATCATGCAGACTCACAATTTACATACCAACTCACATTGGCACGTAATCTGCTTCAATCTTCCTCAGTCGCTTGTTGTCATCCACCTTGAGTTGGTTAAACGTGTTGGAAGAGATTTGTGAGAGGAAACCACCAAGTGGGGATCAGGCATGTAAAAAGATTTAAAAAAAATACAGAATGTGAGCCTTTGAGTGAAGTATTCAGACGGATCTTTCCTTCAGAGAACGCATCTGCGAAGGAGCAAGTGCCTTTACAATGCGTGGGAGGTTTTGTTTACACTACAAACTGAGAGCTTCAAAGCAAATTTTTTTTGAGGAAAAATCTTCAAATCTCAAAGGCAAAGTGAAAGATGCTGTTTCAGCTCTTCCAAGTCCCCGCTCAAGGGAACAAAAAACTTCACTTCTGCTGCCACATTAATGTTGGATGTTGTAAATTCGTTGTTTTGAGTCCAAGGTGAAGCACATTGGGATCAACTCTGCTTCAGTCTCTGAACTGGACTAGCCCCTGGAGTTACAGCAAAACTCCCTTCACTGAAGCCAATTTATAAACAGGTATTAAGGTGGGAAAGTCCCAGGAGGACTGTAGGACTGCTTTCTCATTAGAGGGAGATAGGCGATTGTTGGTGAGTTTAACCCAAGGGTCACATGCTCCAGGTGAGGGACGTGGTTGGGAAGGCGGGGCCTTCACGGTAACCACAGCTGGCAAGAGAATTGTTGACATCACCCTGCATCGCAAACCAGCTATCCAGCCAACTGAGCTAACTGACTCCCAATACAGGCTGGTGAGATTGGGCAAAATTTGTTAACTCTTGGGTCAAATGTGTGATCTTTATAAGTTTTGAGCACGATAAAACACATCTTAGGGGCCCTCTTGTGGTACAGCAGTAGTGTCCCTCCCCCTGAACCGAGAGACCTGGATTCAAGTCCCACCTGCTCCAGAGATGGGAAATAACATCTCGGAACAGGTTGATTAGAAGATAAAAAGGAGGTTAAATTAAAAACAAAACACGTCTCTTGATTGTTCACCCATTCCAAGAACCAATAGTGCATTATATTTTGGATGAAGCAACAACTCACATCATAGCCTCTGAGGACAGCGAGGTGGAAAGCTAGAAGCTGGAGAGGGATAACACTGAGGATTCCTTGCAGGCAATCCACTGTGTGGGGAACCTTGATTGCACGGTAAGCATTCTTCATGGTCTCCTCATCATTCTTCTCGCAAATCAGGATGGGTCGCCCCTACGGAACACAAACACAGCTTTGTAAACATTGTCCAGTCCCTGTCCAGCAAGCTTCGAATGTCGTACCAGCTACACCCTCCTAAATTCAGATCCCAATCCCTGGAAACAGCTCATGCTCCACAATTACAGGAATCGTGCCAAAACCTTCACGGTAATAAACAGGAAAATAAGGATGAGGTTTAATGAGATGCATCAGATTTACCAGGACATTGCCGGGTATGGAAAGATTGAGTTATAAGGAAAGGCTGGATAGGCTGGGACTTGTTTTTCATTGGACCGTAGGAGGTTGAGAAGCAACTTTATAGAAGTTTATAAAATAATAATGGCTATAGATAGAGTTAATGGTAGGTGCTTTTTCCCTAGAATGGGGGATTTCCAGACTAGGGGGCACATTTTTAAGGTAAGTGGAGAGATTTAAAAAAGACATGAGGGGTACATTTTTTTTTACAAAGAGGGTCATTTGCATATGGAACGAACTTCCTGCAGAAGTGGTGGATGTGGGTACAATTACAATGTTTAAAAGACATTTGGATGGATATATGAATAGGAAAGGTTTGGCAGGATATGGGCCAGGAGCAGGCAGGTGGGACTAGTTTAGTTTGGGATTTATGTTCAGCATGGACTGGTTGGACCGAAGGGTCTGTTTCCATATTGTATGACTCTACGATTATGACTCTAAGTGCTGGGTGCATTCACCCTGGCCAATGGGTACATGGTCAAGGCACATCCAATGTGGCATTGGGTAATTCCAATGTTCTGGACTGACCACTAGTCAGCAGAACGATGGCTGGTCTGTCAAGGAGAATTAAACCTGGTCTGAATTTTACATGGAAACATAGAATATTGCTGCAAGAGTAGGCCACTCGGCCCTTCCAGTCTGCACCACCATTCAATACGATCATGCAATTTCAGTATCCCATTCCCGCTTTCTCTGCGTACCCCTGGATCCCTTTAGCTGCAAAGGCCATGTCCAGCTCCCTCTTGAATATATCTAACAAACTGGCCCCAACAGCTTTCTGCGGGAGAGAATTCCACAGGTTCACAGCTCTGCATGAAGAAATCCTTCCTCATCTCAGTCCTGAATGGCTTACCCCTTATTCTAGTGATTTTGGCCTGCATTCACTGTTAATACTCGACTGGATCTGACAACAACTTCAGGAGCCAGCATTTGTGCAGTTTGACATGGAAATCTAGAAGCTGTTATCAGTACTCCATGGAGTTCTGACAGAGCATGCTCTGTAGATGTCCATCCAGACTGCAATCCTGAAGCAGCAGTGAATTCACAAGAAACCTCCACTTCTATATTGTCGGTCTGGTTATAAGAAGCTTTGAAAACATTACATCTGATTAAGTAACTTCAAACTGGGTTTTTATACAGTATACTAAGCAGCCTCGCTGATCCTAGAAACTAATTTTCAATTAGGTGCGGTACAGCCATGATCCTACAGAATGGCAGAGCAGGCTCGAGGGGCTGAATGGTCTACACCAGTCCCTATTTCTTGTGGTCTTACGTCAGATTTCTCTTTATGATAGAAAGCATTAGATGAGGGGATGGCGTGCAGGGATATTGGGTAAGGCAGGAGACTGGCACTAGGTCATAGTACCAGTGCAGGCACAATAAGCTGAATGGCCTCTTTCTGCACAATAACAATTCTGTAAGGTACCACAACTTTAAAATATCTGTACTTTTGAAGTTTGTGATATTTTTACCAATCTTAAATCAATGCTCCACTACCTAGAGACTTGTAATAGAATGGAAGGATAGTCAAGTGTTTTTAATGACAGAGTTGCTGTCTGTGAGAATATTTTAATGTGATTGGTGGCTCAGCTTTCTCATTGACATCATCACAGGCTGGATGCCTGGCCACTTCCTTGTCTCTAAACTGTCGTACAGATCAGGTAAACCCAAACCAGAGAAATTGTTAAGTACTTTCAGGCAACTGGCTCTGCCTTAACAACGGAGCACAAAAGCTAGCCACTGATGTTGGAGTTGAAGATGTTGCTAGGTGGGTTACACGAGGCTGGAATCTGCACACTGTCCCCGATTTCGAAGTCCACAGCGCTAGATCAAAGCTGACCCCTCCTCTCGCCGAGGGTGGCTCAGTGGTGAGCACTGCTGTCTCACAGCACCAGGGACCCAGCTTCAATTCCACCCTCGGGTGTCTGCCTGTGTGGAGTTTGCACATTCTCCCTGTGTCTGCGTGGGTTTCCTCTCACAGTCCAAAGATGTGCAGGTTAGGTGGGTTGGCCATGCTAAATTGCCCATAGTGCTCAGGGATGTGTAGCTTAGGTGGGTTATAGGGGGATGGGTCTGGGTGGGATGCACTGAGGTTTGGTGTGGACTTGTTGGGCCGAAGGGCCTGTTTCCACACTGTAGGGATTCTATGGATTCTATGATTCTCCCAACGAAGCATACACACCTTGCCCAGTCTCTCCAGTGCCACCTGCTGAACACTTCCAGCATTTTCTAGTTGATGCTTTAACTACACCACTCACCCCATTCCCTCCCATTATCACCTCCCCTCCAAACTGTCACTGAGGGACAACCTCAGGCGTTTCTTGCAATCCACTGCCTGGAAGTCGGAGCAACGTGTGGCTGTAAATGCGTGGGTTGACATTTGACAGGTTCACTGGGAGGTACGGTCCCACTGTCATGGATCTCCCAACCTCTCACAAGGGCGCCCATTCACCTTCAATGGGCCTCATTTAAAACAACAAGCCAATCTGAGGTGGAACGATGCTGAGAGATGACGGAGGTTTGATCAGTAGGGTTGACAGCTGACACAAAAATGAACAAAGCGAGGGAATACATGGTGGTGGACAGTCAGACCCAAGAAATTGCAGACCTTCGGTGGGATCTTGGTATGCTCATTCATGGATCCTAGAGGCGCCGCAGGACAGGTAGACAGGGTGATTAAGAAAGTACATGGGATACCTGCATTGAACAGCCACAGAGTCGTACAGCACGGAAACAGACCCTTCGGTCCAACTTGTCCACGCTGACCAGATGTCCTAAACTCCGTGACTTTCAAGAAACAATTACGTATTTCCAAGTCAGGATGCTGATGCATTCAATAGAAGAACAGGAAGGATTATGATGGGACTGTGTAAGATGTTAGCTAGAGCACAGCCAAAACATTGTGTTGCCACATCATAGGAAGGATGTTATGGCATTAGAAAGGATGCAGGGGAGGTTCACGAGGATGTTGCCTGGGCTGGAGTGTTTCAGCTATGAAGAGAGATCAGAGAGGCTGGGATTGTTTTCCTTAGAAGAGAAGGCTGTGGGGCAGACCTGACTGAAGTCAACAAATTATGAGGGGCATAAATAGGGTGGATAGGAATAAGCATTTCCCTTTCATAGAGGGGTCAATAACCAGTAAGCATAAACTTAAGGGAAGGAGCAGGAGTTTAGAGGACACTTGGGAAAAATGTTTTCACCTAGAAGGTGGGGGAGGTTGGGGGGGGGGGGGGGGGGGGGGGGCGGGGGGCCGGGTTTATATGGAACTGACAGTTTTAAAGTTAGAGGTGGAAATTTAAAATGTACTTCGGTGAACACCTGAAATGTCACAGCCTACAAAGGTTACAGGCCAAGTGCTAGAAAATGGGATTACAGTAGTTAGTGGTTGGAGACCAGTGCAGACATGATGGGCTGGAGGGCCTCTTTCTGTGTTGTAAAGACTATGTGGAAGATTACAAATCAGCTCATTGGCAAGTCTCCCTCAGAGGAAAATCTAGATTTGGGTGGTGAAGGTGGCATTTGGTACACTTGCCTTTCCTGGTCAGTGCATTGAGTGTAGGAGTTGGGAAGTCATGTTGTGGCTGTACATTGGACATTGGTTGGACCACTTTTAGAATACTGTGAAACAAAACAGATGTTGCTGGAAAAGCTCAGTAGGTCTGGCAGCATCTGTGAAGGAAAAAAACAGAGTTAACGTTTTGGGTCCAGTGACCCTTCCTTAGAATACGGTGTTCAATTCTGGTCTCCCTGGTATAGGAAATATATAGGAATATATAGATTCAGAAAAGTTTTACAAGGACGTTGCCAGGGTTGGAAAGCTTGATGTATAGGGAGAGGATGAAGAGGCTGGGGCTATTTTCCCGGGAGAGTTGGAGGTTGAGGGGTGACCTTATAGAGGTTTATAAAATCATGAGGGACATAGGTAGGGTGAATAGCCAAGGTGTTTTCCCCAGGAAGGGGGAGTCCAAAACTAGAGGGGAACATTTTCACACACAGGGTGGTGTGTGTATGAAATGAACTGCTGGAGGAAGCGGTGGAGGCTGGTACTATTACGACATTTAAAAGGCATCTGGATGTGTACATGTACAGAAGATTTTAAGAGGGATATGAACCAAATGTTGGCAAATGGGACTAGATTAATTTAAGATATCTGATCAGCACGGATGTGTGGGACCAAAGGGTCTGTTTTTGTGCTGTCTAACTCTAGGATTCTAACTTACACAGGACAAAGGGCACTCTCAGAACCTGCTCTCCAAGCTGCTTCCTTTAGAAGCCACACAAACTCGCACTTCAAGAAAAAATATTCCAAACACAGACACTGCAGAATTACAGCTGCAGACTTTAAATTCACAACACCATCTTCAGAGCCTCCTTTCTTGAATTTGGCAAGCCAGACCATACAAATGCCAGGACAAACCAGATCAATTTCAGGCATCTTCACTGATCTGGAAGCAAGTTTACATAAATCACCGGGGGGGGCTCTAATGCCTTTCCTCATCCAGATTTTGTGAATGGTTCTGGTGTGGTGTGAGCTCACTGTTGGCTGTGACATGCCAGGGTCGCATGCAGTCAAGGCGAAGAGCAGAATCCTGAAATCCTGCTCTGACACTAGTTACCAAGTTGTCAAGGTTCAAAGGGAGGATCATGGCAAATCACGGCTACCTCTGGTTGGCGACCCATTAATGTTGACATGGATATTGAGTGGGAGAACATTATATGTCATAAACATGCTGAGGGTCATGTAACCCATTTCCAGTCCTGTAAACAGCAGTCTGGGTAAAAACCCTGCAGCTTGACGATAATCTCCAATTGCTGGAAGTTGATGACTAAGGAAAGGGGTTCATAACATGGCCAAACAATTTGAGCATCAACCTGCAAATCACATGGCAACAAGGGACAGTAAGAGCATGACAGACTTTCAGATAGGCACATAATGGAAAGTAATCAGAACCTCAACCATCACTATCCACAGCTCTGGATTACAACAAGTTTAAAATATGACGTGTTGCCACAGCAACCTAAGCTTCCCGAGTGACATATACCACTGCCAGCATGAAGCAGTTTAGGGGAGGCAATGTGTTAATGGTATTAACACTGGACTATTATTCCAGAGACTCAGCTAATGTTCTGGGCACCCGGGCTCAAATCCCGGCACGGCAGAATTTGAATTCAATAAAAAACCCGCAATAAAAGGGTCTAATGATGACCACAAAACCATTGTCAATTGTCAGGAAAAACTCATCTGGTTCACTAATTCCCTTCGAGGAAGGAGACTTGCCACCCTTACCCAGCCTGGCCTGCATGTGACTCCAGGCCCACAGACTCTCAGATGCTCTGTAGGGATTGGCAATAATTGTTGGCCTGGCCAGCGATGCCCGCATCCCATGAACGAATAAAATAATTCCCTGGCTTTCATGGACATGGACCCCCCAACACACAGCCAAATCCCCTCCGTATGCACCCGCCCCCCACAAAAATCAAACATTACCTGACGTGCCACCACTTGCTGCAATGCATTCTGACACTTGACAAATGTGGGGTCCCTCATGACCACCATGATGACAGGCATCCGATGGTCCACCAGTGCCAGCGGGCCATGCTTTAATTCTCCGGCCAGGATTCCCTCCGAGTGCATGAAAGTAATCTCCTTAATTTTCTGCAACAGATATTTCGAGAGAGATAGGTGTTCATTTCCACTTGTGCATACCAGTGGCAGAGAGAGAGTGCCTCACGCTATGATTTAAAAGAAAATGCTTTATTCATGCTTATTACAGTGATCAGACCGTGAAAAAATGTGGCATTTGATAAATTAATTGCTTTTCAGCTTTATCTTGGTGGTTAGCACTGCTGCCTCACAGCATCAGGAACCCAGATTTGATTCCACCCGCCTGTGTGGAGTTTGCACATTCTCCCTGTGTCTGCGTGGGTTTCCTCCGAGTGCTCTGGTTTCCTCCCACAGTCCAAAGGCGTGCAGGTTAGGTGGAGGGGCCATGCTAAATTGCCCATAGATTCCTAGGATGTGCAGGCTAGGTGGGTTAGCAAGAAGTGCAGGGTAGCAGGGATAAGGTAGAGGGTTGGGTTCGGGTGGGATACTCTTCGAGGATCAGTGTGAATTCAATGGGCCAAATGGCCTCCTTCCACACTGTAGGGGTTCTCCGGTTTGAAGGCAATATCTACACGAGCAATGAGCCTCAAGTCCTCTGATTTAAGAATATCATGAAGAGATTTTAACATAAATATTGCACAAATTCAAATTCAGCACAACTATTGAACAGAGTTAACTGCAGTGGAATTTGTTCCTTCATGGAGTCAATTTGCCCTGACTGAAACTTGAGTGTTACTCACCAACGCCCCCTCCAGGCAAGTAGCATAATGATAACCACGGCCCATAATGAGCACAGACTTCTGCTGATACAGCTCGCTTGCTAATCTCTGGATCTCCTCGTCTGAGCTCAGAACTTCCTTTATTTGGTCTAGAAAAACAACATCGGGGGAATTAAAACAGTAATCAGAATTACTGTCAGGGAGCCGCTAATGTTTTAATCTTATGTCGGAAAAGCTAAGGGAAGGGTTCTGTTTAACACGAGATGAGGCAGTACGCTCTCAACAGCAATATGGGGCTTTCATGAATTTGCAATCTGCCAAAAAAGCTTTCGACAATTTGGGTACTTGATATACATCCAATGCTGCATAAACATTACAACAACTTGCAATTATATTATCCTACAGTGTGGCAAAGAATCCCAAGGCATTCAGTATCTCCCAATCTGACAGTTCCCAAACAAAGGGAGTTTTGGAAAATTAAAACCAATGCATCAACTATCTCACTCGCCACTTATTTTAAGACCTTAGCATGAAATCCGTCAGGACATAGATCCTCGTTAATACTCAGCTCCAACAATGTGCTCAGTATCACTTTTCTGGTGATTGCAATTTTCCTGTGTTCCTCCTTCTCTTCCATTTCCCAGGAGCAGCAATTAATCAGGAAATGGGAGGGATGAACTCCACAGGCTCGGTGGTTTAACATCGGTCAGAGGGAAAACGTTAGAGGTTAATACTCAAAGACGTTATCGCAGGGTGTTTAGAGGAGTACAAGGCAATCAGGCAATGTCAACATGGTTTTGTGGAAAGGAAATCATGTTCAAACAATCTACTGGATCTCTGAGAACATTACACGTTCTATGGACGAAGGGGAGGTGGTGGACATACGTGCTTAGCTTTCCTAAGGCATTTCATAAAGGGCAGGTCATGATGTACAGTGTATTAGCATATTGGCATAGATAGAAGATTGTCTGGCTAACAGGAAGCAGAGAATAGGCATTATTGGATACATTTCAGGTTGGCAACATGTAACAGTTGTGTGCTGGGATCTCAACTGTTTACAATTTATATAAATGAGTGAGTTAGACGAAGGGATGGAAGGCATGGCAGCAAGGTTTGCTAATACAAACGTAGGTATGAATTTGTGAAGAGGACACAAGGACAATGCAAATGGATACAAATAGAATAAGCGACTGGGCAAAGAGTTGGAAAATGGAGTACAATGTGGGAATGTGTGAAATTGTCCATTTCAAGGAACAAAAAAGCATATTATCGAAACTTTGAGACACAGAGGATCTGGGTGCCCTGATGTATGAACCTCCGAAGATTAGTACGCAGGTACAGCAAGTAATTAGTAAATGTCATAGAATGCTTTCTTTAATGCAAGAGGAATTGAATACAGATGTAGGGAGGTTACAGTTCAGTTGAACAGGACATGGATGAGACCACTCCTGGAGTGCTGCGCACCCATTTTTAAGGGAGGATATCATTGTATGATAAGGAGCTCAGAGAAGGTTTACCAGATGAATACCTGGAATGGGAAGGTTGGCTTATGAGGAAAAGTTAGCCAGACTAGGCTTGCATCTGCTGGAGTTTAGAAAATGAAAAAAAAAAATGACTTGATTGAAGTGCACAAGATCCTGAGGGGTCTTG